TGCATACCGTAGCACTAGAGGGGAGGATCCATGTGAATCGCGCAACCCACAGGTCTTGATCATCAGGCAGCGTGGCCTTGCGAAATTTCAATGGTTTCCCGCCTTAAGCTTATTAGAACAACCCGGAACCGTTCGTTTCGCGTATTTATTCGTTCGCAAGGAGACTTAGAGAGAACCAGAGCCTGGAAAAAGGAGACAAAACGTGGTTCAAATTATCCACTCTGCGGGATTAAAGTGATTTTTCGCCAGGGGTGGTATTGGAACTGACAACAGAGAAAAGGAAGTTCGATTTTGTTTGTCGATGGAGTGAACGGATGTGTAATTAATGCTTTGGCTATGGTATCGTCCGTATTATTAATAGGCTGAGGAGGTTTTATGCAAATTCACAATTTTGTATACTAATATCTGAAAATTACAATTTGACTGAATTTTGGATTCTGCCTTAAAGGCTCTACTACGTTCATAATAACACATATATTTTTACTTTGTCGTATTTCTCAAGATAATGGATTCTATAAATGTAAAAACATCTGCCATAGAACGTTACAAACGAAACAATGTTTCCGTGGGTTAATATGTAAAGAGTACCTGTTGTAGGAGAGCATATTTCGGCTCTTGCACCTTCACTCCACACTTACATTTGCAATAGTCGATCATATTGCTCACTGAATCCCGGACGAGCCCCCCAAAAATTATATAATTTCGATACGTTTTGTTAATTAAGATTCAAGCACAGTTAAAGACCAAAGTAAAAGACGACTATATTTGATTACTCTACACTAAATTATGCAACACAACTGATAATCACTAATCTGCACTGAATACCGATCTGTCTCATTCGACGTTCACTTCCACACTGTCCTTCGCTCGTCAACTACGCGTCCTCCCAACTCGTTCCCTTTTCTTTCCATTACCCTTGAAACTAACGACAATCTTATACCTGAACGATAATCTTATACCCTACTTGTTCATACAGTGAAGACAATGAAAATAAGAGTGAGTGTACAAAGAAAGTACTTAATATACAGAACGATTGACAACATCTAGAATATTAAATTTAAAACCAGTAAACGAAGGTGAGTCATGTCAATGGGAATAATATTACACATTAATTAATACGACACAAAATAACACCATTTCGTCTGAATTATTACGTTTCACGAGGCAACGATTTCAACAGTGAATCGCACACAGTACACGCTACACCGTGAATCGCGGCCACGCGATGCCCCATCCAACCCTCTGTTTTTTTCTTTTTTCTTTTCAATTTCACGTGTACAACCGCCCCGCGAGCTGGTTAACAACGGGCCAATGAAAACGTTTCATTACGCTTGTACAGTGTACGGTGGGCTCGTGTTCCGGCCGCTCGTCTACCGGCCCCCGGCCGGTTTATCGCGTTTGTTTACCCCTCTCAGTCCGCTGATTTCCGGAAATCCGCGGAAAATCATCGAGCCCCGGTTAAACGCGACGCGGGCGCCCCGTGGCGTGGGCTATTTCGTTGAAAACCCTCCGCCGATTAGCGGACCGTCGAGGGTGGGTTTCGGTTAAACGAGCAAACGCCACACCGCGTTTGGCTAAGGGCCGATTCCGAGTGCTTCGACAGTGAAATTTTTGCTCATTTCCATTCTCGTTCGAGTGCTTGCATCGTTTGCGATGTGTCGATTGTAACAATTGGAAAACACGAGAAATATGAACGTTACAGTAGAGATTGTGAAACGTATAGAGTCGATAAACGACGTCTGTAAATGTTCAAGAACTGTTTTCATTTTATTCTGCCACTCTGATCATTATAGACTGCGGATTATACGCATTTATAACGTATACGACTGTGTGAAATATGACAAATGGTAAAGATATAGAAGGTGTAACAAAAATGGACTAACAAAGCCTCGGATAACATTTTTGCTAAAGAAAAACTTGTTTCACCTCGCGAGTCTCCTATTTCCGGGTCCTCCAACGTGTTTATTACACCCTGTATATAGTCTAAATGTGACGTATACGTAACAGTGAGCGTTAAAGGGTTAATAAATTGAAGAAAATTCAATCTTCACATCTGCCTATACTTCATCCACATCGGAGAATGTTACTTTACATAAAGTTGGGCAGTCTACCAAACCAGCTCAAATGGGAAAGACAAATATCTCTAAGTTCAGCGTTTGTTATAAATCAATTATCCATGGAACACTCACGAAAATTCAGAATGGACTAGATCGTGACCTATATTGACACGACCACGCTCCACCGTTCCCCAAAGATAATTCCCTTGGCCTTCTTAGCCCGGATGCAACGTAAGGACCGTCATCGTTCCACTTTACGACGCGAACCGGGCCCGCATTTTCCAACCGCCCACACCTATTACCCGAGATTTCATAAAATGCACGGGAATCGTTCCCTTCTGTGCGAAATGCCATCGTTGACTCGAAGAATACCTGAGTTTGTAATTCACCTTCACGCCTCTTTCCTGCAATAATACTTCTCTCTGCTCGATTAAACGATCCTGGAACATCACACGGTTCGTAGTTACACAAATTGTAGCACGTTGAATTGAACGAACCTGTGTATAGAAAGATAAAAAAATAACAGACGACGTATAGGGTGAGGCTGGTGCAGCGTGCAATTAAATTAAAACCTATGCTAATGACGATGGATCTCGACGTGCCGCGCACGGCCTTGTGCATACGTGCCGGCCAGGTGTTAATTGAGGCATAGATCCGTTGGTCAACCGGGACCCGATCGATTGGCACGATTTAGGCGGTCCGTTTGTTCGGTTTGTTTGTTCGAACCTTCCCCCCCCCCCCACACACACACCCACCACCATGTCTGTTTGTTACTATTCTCGCTCGCATCGAATTGCGCGATTTTCAATATGAAAACACGAACGGTACAGATGGAATTTCTGTATATCGTTCGAGTCCCGTTTTTCATGGTTATCGATGACTGATGAGCATTAAATCACGTTTAAATACGCTCGATTCTATGCCAGAGAGGTTAGAGCCGAAGTGGTGTGGGAAGGTTTAAACAAGAGACTTGATTTGTGAGGAAAAAAGCCCTTTTGGTAATTGACAAATTACCGGCATAAAAACCCCCTCTTCAGGGGAAGAAGCATTCGTTATAATAAGAAAAATTGTACGACCTTGTTCTGCACACAGGGGAACGCTCCCAGGACAGCGAGGCCTTTGGTTTCACAGATGAACGCACCCAATGATCCAAGGTGATTCTCGGTGAGATCGAAGAACAGTTGTGGTTGTTGCAGTAAGTTGGTGAACAGCAGGGCTGTGGTTGTTGTTGTGAATTGCATTCAGAGATGGGTTGTATCTTCGAGCTACAGAACGGCTGGGAAGCCCTGTGCACACGAATCGACGAACTTATACCCGACACAAATGGACACTTTTACAGAACACTTAACAAAACCCAGAACGAATGAAAACCGGAATGAACAGCCCCACGTTTCCCTACGCACACCGAAAACTATACAGATAATTTGCAACACCGGTAAACAAAGGAGAGAAATCGCATTCCACGAGCTCAAACACGCACCTAACCACGTTTAAAAATGCACAACGAGACGTTCCCGCGCATGCATCGTTAAGATTACACGCAACCAAGACCGGCGACCAATCAATCCGCCCGGTGACAGTTCACGCGGTCGTCACACAGGTGGCGATCGGCCCCCCCGCCGAGCAGCCAATCACGAACGTCGCATGAGCCTCACGACCCATTCACATCGCAAACACATGTACAATTCACTTGAACAGTAAACTATATAGTTCGTGAGTATTTGCCTTGTCATAGAAAAACGGTTAGTCAGTCGCATTTTAAATTTGCTGCTGGAAGTTTACAGTGTCGTGAATTGTGCTCGTCAACTTCGAACATTTTGGTGAAATGGATCTGATATGGCTGGGAAATTAATCATGAGCGGTTGTGTAACTAAGGCAGACTACCTGTGACAAATACATTGCGGAAAATGTAAGTACAGAATCTCCGATACCAATATCTAAAGATTATAATACAACAGAAATTTCAATTCTGTACTAGAAACTTCACTACGCTAATAATAACACATAACTAGTATTAAACTTCATTAAAACGTTTACCTTACTGTATTTTCCAAGTTAATGGATGCTATGTAATGTAAATGCATAAACATCCACAGTGTAGTGATAAAAGAGTTCGAGAAGATAAACTCGAAATCGCGATTTTTATTGGACAGAATGAAATTAATTTTCATTCGGGAATGCAGGAATTCTCGTACGAAAACGACTGTATTTTGATAATAGGGGAAGAGTAGGCGGAAGGCCGTGCACGGTTTCGCAACTTCCAGCCCTTGAACACGCCGAATGCCTCCGTACTCACTAGTTTACTTGTAGTTTTGCCCCTGTGTACCGTGTATCTGTATGCGTAGTTGCGACTGCTGGGTATCGCGCGTTCCCACGTACCGGGTGACGCGAATATAATCCCTTGAAATGGTCTTCTCCGTACGAGAAAAATTTTCGTAATTTCTATTAACCGAAAACTTGCATTAACGACGGAACTTTGAACGATCCTTCTAATACCAGCAAAATTTTTAGCGGGTATCTAAGTTACTTTTCTTACATCCTCGAGATTAAATTATTCGATGAATTCAGGTAACAGTAGATTTATCTTTCAATTGGAAACGATTGGGAATAGAAAAACCTGACTTCTTTCGACAACAGGATCAGAATCAAATGCTTCCACCTTCTAGAAACCGAGTGGCAGTATACCTAAGGCTCCTTGGATGCCGTAGAAATACCACAACGGGGGACAGTTTCCATCGCGGGAACGAGGAAATTCCGAATCCTTAGCCGGGAAACAACCGTCCCTGACGCGCGACAGAATTCTACACGAATCACGTAACTCCGCCGCGTCGACTAATTGGCCATGGAAATGATAAGATTGCTGGATTGATTGATGCAGTAGGGAGATGGGAGGAGGTTGATGCTTCTTCAAGAAGAAAAAGAACACGACTACGGGTATCGAAGATGGCGATCGGAGACGTCAGATTCACGTGGTCCGAGAGAAAACGCCTTCATCGTATACTGATCGTCGCTGTTTCAACGAACGGCCTCGTCGGTCTTGTTCTGTTCGCGATGGGAACCGTCACCACATTGTCGTACGCTGGAAGATTGAGAACCGAGGAAAGGAGTTTGTTTGATCTGGTGTACAAAACGTTGACGATCTACGGATTGTACGTGCTCGTTCATAGTCTGATGGGCCTGAAGCTCTGTCGGAATTACTTCCGTTATGCAGAAGGGTAACGATCACACGTGACAAGCTGAAAAATCATTATATTGGTACTGAGAGGTAGTTGATTTCTTGCAGGTTACGAAATGAACGATGACAATTTTATTATTCTTACACAACGAGGGAATTTTAATTATTCCATCTGTATTTCTTGTACCCTCTGTGGTTTATTTAATATCGCTACTGTTTATTATTACTGGACTGCGGATGTTTTATGCAAATATTTGTATTTATGGATTAGTTCGTTGAGGTTGGAATCAAAGGAATGTTTATTTACATTGTTAGGGGTTCTGTCAGGCTTTGAATGGAATGGAAGTATCGTTACACGAGGTGAAGCTTTTTACTGTATTGAACTGTGAAAATAATTACTTTTTCTTTGATTGTATATCTGTAGATTCTGTATCGTAATTAATTTTCGTGTCATTTGCAAGGATCGGGTTAGGTTAAATGACAGCCCTTTTTTATCCCCTGTACTCTTGTTCCTGCGCATTTACTTTATGTTTTATTTCAATAATAATATCAGGCATGCCAATAAGTAATCCACTATGTTTTGTTGAGTTCAATATTTATTTTCCGGAAAATCAGAAACTCTTGTCATTTTCCGCCACATTTAAAAAAAAGAAATACAAGATCACAGTTCGAATTAAAATTATTTTACCAGTCTATTCAAGTGAAACTGTAATATACCGCGAAGAATTGAAATTCCTGGAGGTTCCCAATTGTAGGATGTCGAGCGGGGAAAAGAATCGGACACGTCTTAAATATTGAAGTTGTTTATTCTACTGTGTTCGACGGATCGAGGCTGACTGCCTCGTGTCCTCGCATTCATTCTTTATATGTATGCTCTCACAGCACACACATACACACACTATTGCGTTTAGGGCGGCATCGGTCTTTAATCGACGCTGAAACGCAACATTCGTCGAAGCTGGCGGCTCGACAAAATCACGCGCTGACTCCCTCTTTGATGACACCTGATCCGATCGCGATAAGCGCGGTTCCTGTAACCGTTGGTCCGACGCGGGACGCGTAGATTCCTTAGACAATTTAACTTTCACAATGTCTGCTGAGATATATGCTAATAAATTCAATTATTTATATGCACAAATAAAATTTACGAAAGGAGCTATTTTTACGAGACGTACCTTAGTAGTTACAGTTATAAAAGAAAACATCCCTCCCGAAAGGGTTAACGCACATCACAGAATTAAGTAACGCGAATTATGAAGCACAGCTGGCGGTCGTTCGCGAATCGCTCGCAATCAAAGTGCGTGGAACGAAACACTGTAAAAGCTGGACACGTGACGTCGAATCCGAGTCGCACAATACACGGCAAATTGCGAATCAGTCGGATCAGGGCCTGTGATTCCGTGTAAACGTGTTAATGCGAAACTCGGCCGCCGCCGATTTTTCGGTATTTCCCAGGAAGCCACGACGGCGAACCAGGCGAAACTCGCCTGGTCTGAAGCATTCATTAGAGGAGGGGGGATTCGCGTGAATCGCAATTAATTGGCCGGTGTAATCGGGTATACAGGCGAGTTTACACGAAAAAATATCTCCCCTATTGTGCTTCATTTATAGGCGAATGTTTCTTAGTTCAATTATTGGGACCAAAACAATGAGATTTCATCAATTTCGTAAGAATCTCACGAACTGAATCTGAGAGGCGGGGAAAGAAACGGAGAAGAAAACCTTACAGACAGAAAAATAGACAGGGAGAAGTATAGAATCTGAAACAAGAAACGAAAAGAAACAGAGACGAAGACAGAAGAAGCCAACGGGGTGGTTCAGATTCGCCTTGGAATCGACCTCTCGGGGGTGTTTTTCTTAATTTTCCAAGGGCCAGAAGGGATGACTGGCGCGGATTGGAAAACTGGGGGCCGGGATTGCCGAAGGCCAATCGATTTGTCAGAATTTTCGAGTAATTCCGCGGCGGTGGCTATTCGTTTGTTTTAATTACCATTTCCTCGTTAACGTGTCCGCGCGGTTTCGTTTCGCGGCCCGAAATTTTCGCGCCAGTTCAGGCCCGTGCTCGATATACGACCTCCGAGAAATCGGATGGGACAGGTGGAATTAGTCTTGGAGGGTTTCGAATTAGTCTTTGGGGATAAAAAATGAACTGGTAAAAACGACGATGTCTGATCTTCGGAGCTGTTTTAAGTATCGGAATTTAATTGCTTTAGTGTGGACTTTAGCCTGGAATGGAACTAGATACGAATATAATTGTTAGAACGAATAGAATTGTTTCAAATTTTGAAATCATTTGTTCTTCGGAAATGGGAAGTGCGCCAAAAATAGACGTAAAACGTAAGTACGTTGGATACTAAAAGTGAATATTTTAAAACGTAATACCTAGTAAAATATAATTTTCATTTCGGGTCATATAGACCCGAGGAGAACACCAAGGTTAAATTACCGATGCCTGTCTTGTCTAATTGTTATTTTCTTAGGTCGACTATTGCTACGGTATATTTTCTAAGCGACCCGAACGAACTGTTTTTTCTTTTTTACTGAAGGCACCCTCTATTTCGGGATGTTCACACGTCGAGAAACTGTGTTTATCGACGTTCCATTTAAACCGTCCATAATTTTTTGTGAAACTTTTACCTGGTACCATTTATGAAAGCTACAATTCAACTAATAGTATACACACCAGATGGCAGAACTTTCGTGACATTGCAAGAATAATAAACTAAAGGAAAAACATCTGCGCCCGAATTCACATACGCCCCTCTGCTTTGTAGTCTGATCCCCACTCTAACTGCAGGCGAATGATAAATCGTAGACAATCGTTTCAGTCGCTCTGAAAGTTTACTCGTGTGAAGACGAGTTTGAGCGTTTATGTGAAAAATGGAGCACAGTTCGCGAGGTCAGACAATAAAGTTTCGAGAGGAATTCATTTAAAAGTTTTATTTCGAAGTGAAATGCGTGTGTACAGTCTCGTGTCGAGTACTTTGAAGGCGATGGCCTAGTTTCTGTGTGGAATTTTTCAAATTAAATTTTTGAATTAATTATTCTGCAAACGTTATTCGCGCATCTCGTAAAAAACTGACAATATTTTTAGTGACAAGAGGGTGATTTCGTTGGTTTTAGATCATGGTCGAGCCTGAGGTTGTTCGTTTGGACGATTTTGGGAGTGATCGGGGCGTTAGTGGGATGCTTCATGGCCAGTGTGTGCTTCTCGACCGCAGAACAATTGGTGCTTCAGGTTCGCGAGTCTCTCTTGGAAGGTAATACTAACTGTTATTTTTTATAAAGTTTTTTATTACTTTGACACAGTACAAATCATCGTGTTTCTGCTGACACACTTACAGCTGGATAACTTATCGCGTATATACTTTAATGTTAAGACATCTGTTGTATACAAAGGAAACGTGATATTCCGTGGAAATAATATAATTGAATGTAATTGAAAAAAGTCATTTCAAATGTTCGAAAGTCCAAATACCTGCGAACGACAGGTATACATGAAGGTTTAATCGAAAATTTTCTTTCATTCAGTCGCATAAACGCTTTCTACACCCCAAGATTATATAAAATCGTTGATATACTAATTACAAGATGAACAACCCATTCAAACCTGAAGTTTCTTCTAATAGTAAACAAAATATTTGATTACACATTTTAACTCAGTTGACTGTTTAGATGCTATTTTCTTTTAAAAAAAGACTTTTTAAATTTCTTTTAATAAGGTTTAGTTGTTCAATTCTTAATTCACGAGATCTACCAGAAATATTCAAAGCATAAAAAAATTCAAATTTATAAAAATATATGGATCTGCAACACACTGTGTACCTAATGGTGTGTGTGAAACTGTACGAAACTTCGTGTAGGTACACAAATGTGACCAGCGTGTCTGAAAGGGTTAATATAGTACACGTAAATGTTCCACAGAAAGATTCGTTCCAATTCTAAGGAGCCACCGACAGAAATCCTCGTTTACGTAATCATCGCGAGATGAACATCGCGCGTTTAACGTGTCAGAGACGGGGGACGGTGGAGAGCGCGTCGGAGCGTAGTTTATCGCGAGCAAACGTTTCGAATACCGAAGAGAGATCCTGTCGTGCCGTATCTACTCATTAAGTAGGTAGACACCAAACGAGATTTCCATCAGTAATTTCCACGGGACGACGTCGGCGACGGCTTCGACCGCCGATTTGCATATTATGCCGAGTACAGTATTTCGCCGCGTGCCGTTTTCACCATCTGTGTCTGCCATACGGACGGATTCGTTGGATCCGCGTGCATCACGCTAACCGTACTGCATGTCCTCCTCTGTACCGTGTGTGGACTTTACCTCGAGGTGATTACGCGCGGATCTAACAATCTCTTATATCTACCAAACACTGGAATTTAAATCTTTCGTATTCTCCTGTGTGAAACAGAATGACGTGAACATTTTTTTTTGTATATCTGGGGATTGGAAAGTGAAAATGAATATTAAGATAATTTGTAATATTGCAGATTATGCTTATGTCGGGTCTACGTTAGATGTATGTAATTAGAATTATACCTCCTTGTACAGGGTAATACAAGAAAAGGGTTCATAAATTCTACGTTGTGAATGATAAAAAGAAACAGTGATAAATCCTGTCGAAAACTTTCTGTAACCAGGAAAAGAGGAAATTACTTTTTCGACCTATGTTTATCAGGACATTTTCGTCATTTGACAAGTACTATAGAAGTTATGAACTCATTTTTGTATCACCCTGTAGGTTCATTGTTCAGAACCAAGAACCTACAGGGAACTGGGTTTTTAATTATCTCAGTGAAATAGAACCGTCACTGGTCAGATCAGCATGACAGATATGACTTACTGTCAGTTAACTGCAAACTGTTACAGATTATGCATACGAATAAGATTTACATAAAATAAAACATTCCACGATTTCCCAGGGAACTTGGGTACCCCCGAAAATATCAATTTTTTTACAGTCCATAGATTTGTACAGAACCTCAGTAGTACCCTCAGGCAATTTTTCATTTTTACTGATATTCGATTCCTTCAGGCTGAAACCGCCCCTTAACGTGGGTTGTCCTATTTTCCTCTGTATATCTTGAAAAATCCCCCGTTTCAGAACTGTGTGAGAAGACTTTCACGATTTTTTCGCCACGCTCTGACGCAATAAAATTCAATTTCCTTGGGTTTCTTAATGAAGAACGAGGAAGTGGTATCAAGAAAAATGGCGTAACAGTGGGGCGCGCGATCGCATGAATCTCAATTGTTCGATGAGACCACTTTATCTTCGCGAGGGGCCAGGGGTAAAAGAGGGAGAAAGGTATTCGCCGGTGAAGCGATATCAAATTTCCACAGGATCGCGGTTCTGGCTCGCGGTAATACACACGGAATGTTTCACATTAACGTATGACTCTCCGATATTTTATACCCCGTCGGAAATTCATCATATGCGAGGAGGAAGAGGCCCGAAATTCCGGGACGGTGAAACAGGCGGGGGGAAAAATTTAAATTTGCGCGAGCTGGTCGAAGTCGTTTCCGGGGGATATCATCGGATTAATTAAAAACCGTCTGTCGAAATAATTAAATATCGAGCGTGCCAATTATACACGCGTGTCGGAGCGGCGCAGTTTTCAATATTTCCACTATTGAACGTCGACAAAGGACACGATCCACAGCTTCCTTTATGATCCGCAGTTCCCCAGTTCCGTGAACGGACTGGTTGTTCTCCGTCCAAACATTTCTGATATTTTTTAGGCTACCTGGAACTATTTTCGAATGAAATTGTACTATATTCTGTACTCTAAAAGAATGAAGGGCTTAAGGCTAAAGTCTGTCTATAGAAACGTGGCTAGGCACTGATAACGCGCTTCATTGTGTATAAAAATGTATCGTATGGTGATACAATACGATGATACAGAATAGTGATATGATACGAGGATACGTAACAAATGGCTACTCACCTTAACACGTTGACTGTCATAATTAAAAAAGCCGTACGTATCCAGGCACGCATCAATTCGTTTTCTAAGTCATAAATCAGCAAACATATAAGACGGCTAGTTAATAGAGGCTGTTTGTGTTGTTCTAAATTATACTGTGATATTTATTTTACGGAAAATTTTGTAACTATATTTATAAAGTGATAAAAACCATGGTCCTTACTCCAACTAGTTGAAAAGTCTCGTCATTGGTCAGACCACGAGAATACAATCATTAATCCTGAATAAACACTCAATTTTTATGAACATTCACATCTTTAGGACCAAATTGGAGAGGAAAAGCACTTGAACCTATATTTATCTATTATTTCAATGTAAAATATACAGGAATCTGTGCAAATTGTTACGGTATAATACTTCTACACTCTATTACACTGTCACACGTTTCTCCTAGTGTTTTTCCCCACAGATTCAGCAACCTCCCAGAAACAGCTTCCTTCTATGCTCTATAATTTCACACAGAAGGATTCACCGTGAACCCTTCCGAGAATTGATAATAACATTTAATGGCACGCGAGTGTTGTTAAATGCGTTTTGAAATACCGTGAAATTGCAGTCGGGGGTAAGTACTTCCCGACGCAGCCTCTTCGCCGCGTAAATCTTTAAGAGACCCGCAGCTCTGTAATCGCCACTCTCTATTCTCCCGGCAACGTTCCACGACACTTACGATCCCCAACAGAACTTTGACCCTAGTAGCTTCCCTTCGATGCGCCGCGACGCCCAACGAACACGACTCTTCAGCGCGTAATTAGTCGCGGGTCACATCTGAGCTTGGAACTCCGTTCCTTCGAGTCACTTATCAAAGTTCCGCGTTCGCGTAAATAGTCGTCCGAAAGGAAATATAATTTTGACTTTGGACAAACTTCTGACACGAGGACTGAGGAGGGCTCATGTGTCAGAATTTCGCCCGAATTTCGAACTGTGAGCAACACCCACACTGCGACTTTGACTCAAAAATTGAGATTGGAATAGGATTATTTAGGATTTTATTTGAAATATTGAAGCATATTAGTGAATATCCTAATTCTTTTGAACGTTGTATCTATAATGTTGCCGAACGTTTATAGATGCACGAGATCGATTATTCTGTCGGTAGGCATGAAGAAGTACTTCACGGACGTGACATGGAAACGCGGAATAGATAGTCTGCAGGTCAATTTGCGATGCTGCGGGATAGATTCGTCCGATGATTGGCACAAGACGTACTGGCTACAGAGGGAACTTCTTGTGCTGGATTCCCCGGATATCTTGAAGTAATTATCAGTTAATTATTTGGGAACAATCGAGGCTCTGTATCGGTGTCATTATCGACGTCGTAAAATCCATATTATCCTGTCCGTGCTTATCGGGGCATGATCATACCGCCTGATTTCCATGTCTATTCACAGACACCGTGGATCTTATCGTTGAATAATTCAGAAGCTCAACCTATTGCATCGTAAAGGCTGCTAATTTGACGTTGAAAAAAATTATCGCTATTTAAACTACTTACAAAAAAAAAACTCACCAAGTCTACCGTTGTCTCTACTTTACGAACAGATTTTCAAAAAAGACAGGAAGAGTCTAGTGTTATTAGAATTTGGAATATTAATTTATATAAACAATTTTATTTCACATTTTCGACTCATTGTTTCACGTAGAATCATCCCCATTTCCGGTTGCACCAGAAGCTACCGACCACCCTGTATAAATGAATAAGTTCATTAATGTATCGATTTGTATATTTTCCACAAGCTCTCCTTTTTACCAAAAAGTTAATATTCCGTTCACACATCTATTCACAAGCTAAAAACTGATTTATATTGAAATCAAATTAACGTGCAATCATCCGAACGAAATTCCAAAGATGCTATATTTTTCATATTTTGTCCACGCCACCCTTGGATTCCCCAGCTTTCGTCCACCATCTTTACCCCCGTACCGTACGATAATAATTACAACATCCCGGCAGCCCGCTGAGAAACAAATTCCACGTGGAACTTTAATGGAAACGCAGAAAGTATGCCAGGATTTTAATTACAACTGCGCCCTCCAAGCGCGACACAGGAAACGAACATTTTCACTTGTGACGACCGCCACGGGGGTGGTTAAAAACGCTTTCAGACCGACCACGGTTATCCAAAAGTGTTCAGATAAATAGAATCGATATCCCCTTACGATTCCATCAGTGTGTCCATTTCCAAAAAAGGATACCACAGATCCCAGTTCTCGAGGGTGGGAGGTGAAACAAGACAGGAACGTCCCCGTTTCTCTTCCCTTTCGAGGAGCTCCCTCGTCCGGTATTCCACGCCTTCCAGGCAATGCTTCCAAAAAAAAGGATTTAAAACGCTCGCGATAGAGTGCTCGCCAGATTATTTCCACGTGGTCCGTACCCTCTACCTTAGGAACGAGGAGGCTGTGTGTGCTTTTACGAGAACCACCGTCAGGAACGCCCACTTAGAAGCAATCTCCATTTGGCTGCGTACCTGGAGAAGGAGCCTAGAGACAGTGATATGTTGGCTACTTTCTTTAATCGTCCTAGTTTGATCTATTAAGCCGTGAAACAGTGTATATTTTTCACTTGTTTCTTCGGTGATTCTTGTAACGTGTAGTGATGGATTTTTGTCGAAGCGACTTCGTCAGTTTCCCTTAATTTTGTAGAGGTTTAAACTCTTAGAACTGTAAGATTTTAACTTTAGAGCAGTGGTGGATATTATTCCGATGATCAGGTTGTTTATTTTTGCATTAACGTACAGTGACTCACGTGTTTCGTGAACAGTGAGCCTCTCTAAGTAGTGAATCGAACAAGAAATGATAGATCAGTTCTTTGCATGACGAATAAATATAAAAAATATACCCAGGGAGCATTGAAGTTTTGTAACTTCGATGTACTGAATTTTCCACCGAATATTAATTCTGTAAAAAGAGCCACAGATTGAATCTTTGTGGACACGATGCTAATGGACGTTAATCCACCAGGAGGAAATTTTAATAGAAACCAAGGGTCTATTTCGTCTGATCTTTAAAAAATCGTGCACGCTACACGAATTGCAATGACGTGTACGTAGTTTTCGACCATATGACGTTGCTGTCCGTACTTACCGCCCCGGTAATTACCTGATAGTTAGGTTTCCAGAGGCTGATATACGCCCGCATTATGTCCCCGCTGGTAATACGTTCAATAATAAAGGGTTAATAGCGCGTTCTGAACGGAAGCCTTTGTGTCGCGGGCTGGTAATCGCAGGTAGAGCAGTGGGTTATCGATTTCTCGTTATGTTAATTGCGGAATTATACCTTCGTGTGAATCGATCCCTAGCCTCGGCGACGCCGCAACTATGCAGGAATGTCAACCGACTCCGTCGAGCCCATAAAATCACTAGATATTATATTGCAACAAGGGAATATTTGGGAAATCGTAGAGCCGTCAAATAGGAGCTAGAAACATTAACTCTTTTAGATTCTTGTCTAGAATGTGTAACCATTATTCACGAGAAAATCGAAGTTCCACGTTAGAACTGTATGGACAGATGCTTCTATAGCATGTCTGACCATTTCCTGCTATTTCTACTTACTGCAGACATTACCCACGGTACTGCATTATATTTTTTCCTATCGTACTATCATACACCTTTGTTTATACTTAATTAACACAATTTAGGGTTCGGCGCAAATTATACCTGGGTAGCTTAGTTATTCAAAGGAGTATACGAAAAGTGAAAAATAAAATCCCCATTGTATTTACAGTGGATAATAAAATTATTCTAAACACCTGTATAATTTGACGATTTCACGATTTTAACTACGTTCTTTATAATTATTCAGACGATGTCTTTCAATAACAACCCGTTCCTAGAACTGCTCGCCCCTAAAGTCCCAAATACAGACAGTTATCACGAATTTACTGTACATAATTGTGACTTTATTTCTACACAAATATAAATATGTGCTCGTGCGTCCCATCGTAATCGAGTATATTAAACTTCTATTGGTGTCTATATTACGCAACAATTCGATATGAAATATTCCTCACAGCTGTTGAATATAATACACCGTGTTATGAACCTGACAAAGACTTCACAAAGCTCTCTATATGCCCACTTTCCCAGAATTTCCATATTCACGGTTAATCGTCTGTCGTCCGCGGTCGAAAGATTAACGCGATTACACGAGCAAGGAAACACGCAGATCGATGGCCGCGCGTTTAATTACCCGTGCAGCAGCCGGCGTATCGGACGCAGAGGGTGGAGAAGGTGGTGACGGTTCTTGCGGTGAGGGAACGACGGTCCCCCGTTTCACTCGAAAACTTTCCTCGGAAAGCCACCGCTGAGAAAGCGGCCGGAGGGACACGCGACACGGCTCGCAGCTCATTCCGGACTTTCGCGGACATGCTCGCGGACAAGTTCGAATTAGCAAGTTCAACAACTTGCGGAATGCGCGATTGGTTGGCCTGCCGGTCGACGACGGGCGTGCCTTGAACCGGAACAGTGACGACCACTGAGCGTGGAAACTTTGTGGACGTATACCGATCGTCGATTTTCTCCGAGCCAAAATTAAAATCTTATTCCATGGCCAGGACGAAACAGACGAACGGTTTCCAAGACTGGTTTTTTTTTCGTTTTATATAGGGGAGAGAAAGACTTGGTCCTTTGCGAAGCTTTTACGCGAGAAGTTTTTGCCCCCGCCGTCTCGGGGATGATTGGACACCGCGTCTACGACGTGGAACGCTTTTACTTTGGTAACGGTGTAACTTGACGGAAGTTGTTACATTTGTACGTGAGTAGACTGGATGTGAGTAGATGGTAGGGGAAGGATTGTTTTGTTCTAGCAATAAATATTTGGGTCAAAATGGGCTCTCTCCGGTCTTGGGAGATTCAGATGACTTGTCGAGAGTGTTCTATAAAAGTGTGGTCGACGGAGATGTTTTTCCTGATAGATTGGTAGAATGCAGGGTTTCGATAGATTGATGATCTGGAAGGGTCAGTGTTGGTTGGAAGGGGCTAATACCATAATAATGAAAAGATTGTTCTTAAGTTTATATTTTTCGAAATTTCGATGTATTTTAAAATGGGACTGCATATTTTTATCATCGTTACGTAATAGTGACTTTGAGCACAAAAAAATCATTATCATCTATTATTATTATTACTACATTGAGCATGAAAAATAATTTATCGTCTACAAAAATGTATCGAAGTTGATAGACATCCTAGTTAGCGTGTGTTAAAATAATTTGTTCTATAATAAAATAACTGTTTCATTTATTTAAATCTACTCCCATACTTCTGTAGATTTCTCGTACCCAAGTTCATACTATTATAGGTCATTGGATTGGCCTTGACTTCAACTATTACGTCAACATGATAAAAATATGTAGTCTATCATTTAAAAAAACAAACGTCGACGACAATATGACCTTCAGAAATTTCTTTTTGCCAATGACAATATTTATCCCATCCAATTAAATAATATTCTCCTCTCACATTTTAGTTTATCGTCAAAAACAAATGAGATATGTAAGGTGGTAACGTTAGGTGGGACACCCTAATGTATTTATTGGAATTTTTCTAGAAATAAGTTACCCGTCCGCAAAAGGTTAATTGAACGCTTTGATTACAAGAATTTCTCAGAGTTTCTTTCGGGAATTCTCCCCATCAGACTTGGTCTTCTATGTAACAGCTACAATCCGCAAACTATCGCGAGACTTTCCAACTATTCGAGGTTCAGTTTTCCAAAACGACTCTCGCGACGGACAAGCGTCTGAGAGGGCAGAACGGTATCCGGTACCGTTTCTACCGAGACGATTCCTCGGGAACGACTCTCAGTCGTAGAGTGAAGATGGTCTGTGTGTATGTCTGTGTGGACGGTCGATACGTGAGAACGGAACTCGACACGTACAACATTGGGAATCCCGTTTCAGGTACGCCGAGTTGGACGGTCGCGTGACGCCGCCGGTGGTCCCGTGGAGTTGCTGTCGAACGGACGTAAAGGGCCCGTGCTATCACGATCCCCTTCAGCTGACGAATCCCGAACAGAACTCCACTTACCTAGGGAGCCTGTACGCTCGTGGCTGTCTGGTCGTCATCAAGACCATGCTGAACGGCACCCTCTATTCCGTGGTGCCGTTGATCGTGCTTCTGTTCGTGTTGCAGGTGAATCAATAATAACGGAGGCCCAGATCAAACAATCGTGCGCGAAATCAATCGTTCGAATACAGTGTCCTCGAGGACGGGGTAAGAGGTATCGATCTGGGGACGAGGAAACACCCGAATCGAACGAAAATTCAGATGGTCGAATCTTCGTTGGCTGCGCACGTATTGCAGTTGGGTGATTGTTGAAGCGTTTGAGTTAATTTATTGTTGATCGAGTCGGTGAATTATTCTGGTGACGATGATTCGTGGGAATTTGGTGGTCACGCAGGAGGTCAGACTAGGTGGATCGAGGTGTGATCCGAGTTGTTCTGTAACGTAATTTTAACACCGTTGACTGCCACAGTGAAAAAGGGTCGTATGTAGCCAGACACGCGCATATATGCGTTTATATTGCGATATTAATTTTACGCACAAATTTTGTAACGGTGTTTAAATAATTCAGCCTGTTTGCAAGGTACCAGTTACCTATATTTAGATGGCATGGTAGTCAAAGTGTTAAAGAAAGACTGTAAGTAGAAATACCATAGAGATCTAGATAGTTTTTCGGATCCTACAAAGAATTTGTGTAGTATACGTATAAGGTAATTAACGATAGAAGCAGAAATGAACCAAAGAGACTTCATTTAGAATTAGAACAATACAATTTATTACATCTAGGACAAGAGATATTGTCATTGAGAATAAAAATGTATAATTCATTCTGGAGCTTTTATCCACGACCGAATTCTAGTTTCGCGATCATTTATAGACGCACAGTTATTTCTATTGGCGGCGAATTCGGCTCGATTAACGGAAGCCTCGACACCGAATAAATGTTAACAAATATTCACATTGATGGTCTGAGAGCTTTCCCCGTGAATATGGAATAAATAATGGTAACACGAACGGCGCTCTCGACCCTGCCAGGGGAACGGAATAGACAGGGGATTATCAGATTCATTCGACGTTATTGATTGCCCCGGCGCGATGATACCGTGCGTCATCGATACTGGCGGAACCCCCGTAATATTTTAAGGGGAACGCTCCGATTTTCGCGTTGAATACCCGCCGATTCGATTCCATAATTCATATTTAGCCGCCCGTGGCGAAAGGAACTTGGAAGTTTTATGATGTTTCATGATGTTGTTTGTTTTTTTTATGCCAGAACGCTCGAAAATTCACCCTCTAATTGTGAATGATCGCTGGCTACACACGGTCGATCGTCGAGGCAATCAGAAAATTATTCTTTCCGCGACTCCTGTGTAACATTGTAACCAAGATGGATTCGAGACTAAGTCGGACAAGAAAGGAACGTTCCACGGGCAGGGAAGCTCGCGTGCCCGTGGCTCGTTTTGCTCGGCCAATTTAATTCCGGTTCCACCGTTCTACGGGCCGAGGCACTCGAGCCTTGATATCATTAAGCCGTGGTCTTAATAGTCGCGGTTAATTAAAACAGATCCAGCCGTTAATGTTTTTTCTTCCTTTCGTCAAACGATACATTTATCCAATTTAATGTCGAATCCCGCCACCGTGACGTACGAAAAATCGACGGTCAGTTTTTGATCGTTATTCCATGAAAGGTCGTCTTGGATCTCGTTTTGCTTTCTATACATTCGGTCTTTTCAAAGGGAACGACCAAGTGCAATGTGTGTCAAACTATTTCTTCACGGTGGTCATCAAATCCCACTCATCCCCACCACTCCCTCAAACAAACTACCATGAACAGTCTACGGTCAATAATTGAATATTCCCGTCCCGAAATAATTGGCAGACTCGTTAACAACGAAACCCACCTAAAGCACGTTTCACCGCGCGTAGAACAACACCTATTCAAATTGCAACTCCATGTAACCCGTATTCAAACTCCACCGCTTCGATTAATGCCTACAGATCGGTGCAATTCTACTAAATAAATAACATGCACCGCCAAATAAACTGCACCCCTAGATCATTCCGTTCAACGTGGCAGCCAACGAAAATCTTCGAAAATTAATATCGAGGTACGAGAAAATAAATCTATGAAACATAGACCTGCAAACCTCTCAAAATAAAGAAGTCTCTTCTCCAGGCCGAGTCGTAAAAACGAAAAACAGTGTTTTACGAGTGGGTCTTTGACGTGAATAGCAAACATTGTAAAAAGTGGAACGAAAGGGATGTGTGATCGTGACGTCACGTATGAGGTAACGATGAAACGTTCCAGGTCGTCGTGACCGTGCTGTCGAGGCTCGACTTTACTGCCGCGAGAAATGCAGTCGCGCTGGGAAACCGTAAGAGAGGATCGCCAGGCTGGCTCTACGGACGCCTCGATTTCGGGAACGCTGCTGGACCTAATCTCTGTCAGATCGAACGGGTTAGTGAACCGAACGAAATCAATCGTTAATGGGCGAGCCGTGAGTCGATCGTTTTCCGACTGCGCTTGGAACAAAGTCAAGGGGTGATGCTCGGAGCTACAGTTACAGAGACGAAATTACTCTTGATCGGTTAAACGTAGGGTATTCTGGGTATTTGTTCTTATTAGTTTATGACAGAAAGGTGGAACGATTGTGATTAATTAGCTAGTACGCTAAATCTTCGATCGCTGCTTGAAACTCGGGACCGTGCAGTTATCGTAGAGGACCACGATTCCAGATAAAGTTCAAAGGAATCTTGTCATCTGATCGCTGGACTAGCTCAACTGAACCAACACCCGAATTCAGAAAAGAATCAACTGTTCCATAAACACACCGATAATATCGATTTATCGTAAACGCGTTACAAATTGTTTATTCGAAACTATTTCCGTCGGTACTATCGAGAAACGATAATTAACCGTGAACTCAATATAACCACATAATTACAGTCCCTTGATACCTTCCAAAAACTCCCTACAACATCACGATCTGATGTTAAAATATTAAGCAGATTCAGCGATTCGTCATACACGAACTCGTTCTCTAAGCGTCAGCAACTTATGCAGTTGGGTTGAAACAAAAAAATTACTAATTATATGATGCAGTTAAATATTCTGCTCGCGACTGCTTACGTGGCTCAGACAGCTCCGTTTTCCCGCGCTGAATTACGGTCTGGGTTGCTCCCCTAATTTTCAAACGGTACATGTATGTGTGACTGAGAGTCGGGGGTGCCTCGCGTACAAGCCAGGTGAAAAGAGGCTACGAAGTAACTTTCTAACTTCGCGAGAAATATTTGCAGAACGAAGTTCCCTGCGGCTGCTCGCGGGCCAACACTTCGCCCAAGTGCCGGGTCGGTGGGTAAAGAGTGGTGAGAAAAGGGAACAGTCCGAGAAATTTTATTAGGGAGCGTGATGAACGAAAGTTTAACAACTACGCGAAGACTTCCACGCGCTCTTGAATCCTATTTTTACGGTCTAACGGTGTTATAATAATAGGACTCGAGGAAAAAAATTATTAATTGTGTCGGTGATCATGAAAGTGGTGTGAGTCGTGTATTTGTTTCGAAAATTCTTTCATGATATTGAAATATAAATTGATGTTACATCAAATATGGGAAAATCTCCATTTTTCTGCTTTACTGACTTATACCACTTTCATAATTATTGGAAAAAGGGTGAGGACCATTCTTTACCTGTTATAAAATTTGAATACATATGGAAGTATTTTTTTTATTGTAGATTCGTATCGTGTAGTAATCGTAACGTATGCGTAAAAAATTTGGAGCAAATGTTGAGATTTGAGTTTAGATTCTCTAAGAAGGATTTTCACCCGCTTCTTAACGTATAATATTGCCTTCTTTAAAATTTCACAGAAGAACAGCGGTCGCGGGGACTCGATGATCGACCTCAAGCCCCTAGTTTATTCGAGCGACACGGAATAAAATCGCTAGGAACGATCCCACGTCGGTCTGCATGCAGCCAGACGTAACTCGAAGCAATCATACTTTCGCGCCTGATCGCTCGCATGAAAATTTTGACCTCTTTATAACGTACAGGGCGATCCAACCCCGTAAGCTCTGTGTTTCAGTGTCCCACGTTGCATGAGTTTAACTGAAAAGAATCTATCAACGGAAGATTGAAAGAATATTCGTTGTCGTCTAGGTTGAATTTTCTTTATATCATGGTGAATTTGTATTCTTTGATCCAATGAGACGCACGAAGATTGATTAACGAAATTTTCTAGAAAGATGAAGTTAAAAACTCGGGCGACGAATTACCAAAATCAATTGACATTCCTATCACTCGAAATAATATTTACAAGATATTTACAAAACATTTATAAATCCCACATGAGTCCTTTGTGTTACAATTTAATCCATGCAAAATCTGCGAGAAATCATCAAAGGTGACCACCGACTAACGGATCGCCCTGTAGATCGTAGCCCGAATAAACTGTTAATATCGATCACGTCGTACAATCGATCGTAAAAATCGCCGAACGACTGAGGCCAGCGTGGCCCGAGGGCTTTTATCGAAATGAAAAACCATCGAAGAGGTTGAGGGTTGGGAGGGGGTGGCGTTTAACGAAGTGACCCAGCCGTGGGGATTAATCGATCATCGATCACGATACATTCGGAACGCGGCCTCCGTGGAACAAACAAGCCCACAAGGAGGAAGGGTGGACGATAAGATAAGGGGCTCGGTTTGGATTTCTTTTCCTCCGTTGGTCCGTCGCCGAGATCCGACGATAGCTTTCACTATGATTACCGGAACCGGTTAATCGAGTCGCCCTACTAAATCCCTCGTTTCCCCGACCGGTATCGTATCGACCGATCGATGAGGGATCTTGTGAACAGAAAACAGAAGTAAGAGGAATCTCTTCGGAGTTGAAGAATGATAAAAGACCACGTTAACAGTACTCATCGTTTCTTATTCTTATTTTTTCTTTTTCTTTTTTTAGCGAGAAACATGGAGTTCGATGTTTTGATTGTGAAGTGGAAAAATAGAAGTGGCGTTCGTACTATTTAACCCTTTAACACCCAGATGTTTAACACTAGAACCACCAGCGGTCAATGTATGCCAAATTGAATTGCATAATATATCGATATCTATAATATATAGTACAGTATAATATAATATAGTGTAATGTAAAATATACATACATACCATACATTCGTTAAAGGGTTAAACCTAAGTAACAAATACACTATAATTTTCATTTCGAATCGATCTAACATAAAATTAAACCAAAAGCTTTGTACTAGAAAGGACTTTGTAACGAATTCTCAGTTTTTGATAAGTTATATAATATAATTTACAGGATCTAAGTACTATAATACTATTCTAGAGTGTAATCGTTGCCTTTTCCTCCAAGAATATCCACGGTAACGAATATAATCCTGAACGTTTTGCGAACGACGAGCGTAACGAAGAAAATCGTTTCAACCCTCGTCAACCTCGCTGGTCCAGCGCCTGTTCACCGAACTGATATTTCAGTCTGTTGTTTGTTTTCAGGGAGTACGTTGAAAATCCACACAGAAGAAGCGACCGCAACGGAAAGAAACATAATCGTGTGTGGTTGGTCCGATAACGCGCCGGAGACTCGATTCGAGCTGTCTCGCGCGAGCAAGAACCGCCGCCGTGAGACGAAGAGGGATCCTCCCGTGGATCCCAACGGTGTGATCCAGACTGCTCGTTCTGGCTCGTGGTTTCCCGCGTTACGGCTGACAGGGGTGCGGTTTTCAACCCCCGTTCTTTTGTTCCCCAGTGCTTTTTACGAAGCCACTCGATACTGGAAGCAAAACGAACGATCTCGAGATTTGGGGGTAGAACTAAAGCTCCTGTCCACTGGTGACACGGAAATATGGTAAAGTGATATTTGGATTTATTCTGGGTAGTGTTGGAATCAAGTATACGAAAGCACAAAATTCGCATAATAGAAGGATTTAGTAATTTTTCGTTTTTTTGCCGATATTCGATTCTTCAAGGTGAAAACCCATTCTATGCATTAGACGAGTTGTGACAATAATGTTTCGAGAAGAATTTCGTTCCCCTCAAGGTACGCCAGAATGTAAACCGTTACGTGGCTCCTGTTGTTTAGCCTTACCTCTCCTCTACCTGCACATGAAAGGTTCATATTGTCAATCGTTTCAGTCATTGTGCGAGTTCTTGCCGCGTGAGGATGTATTTGAGTTCTATTCTACTAAAATTTTATTTTAAAAATAGCCCTTTTAAGGCTTTATACGCAACAATTCTTTATCGGTTTAATTTTCGAAATAATATTTTCAAATGAATTAGTGTTATTTATACAGTGATATATTTCGTTGATTTGTGTTCTATACGATAAATGGAGACAGCAGCGAAAATGAATGCCTCTGCAAACGTTAATCGTGAGTAATGAAAAACAGTGAGCATATGAAGAGTACTTGTACTTTTTTGCAAAATTTAGTGTAACTTTTATTTTGACTGTTCTGTTCTCTTGAGTACACTCAGAATGAATTCAGAGTGGAGTGAAGTTCGTCCTTCATTTTTGAAACGATGCAGTTTTTATTGTACCGTTTAGAACTGTAAATTGCATTGAAAAAGTAATTGAAAGTGAAAAGCGGTGCAGCCTCTTGTTTCTATTTTCCCTTTAATTTAAGTGCATCACATCCAACGAATTTTATTCCAGCGGTGTTTACGTGGAACTGTAAATGAGTCTTTGAGTCCATACCACTTTTATTCCGCTTATTAAAAAATCTTTCGAACATTAACCGTGAATTGTAAGGGACAGAAATTATACAGAACGTCTTTCATGAAGAATGTTGCAATCCAAAGGAATGGAAAACTATAGTTCACTAATAGAAACGAACAATCCTCGGGAATTGAAAATATCGACAGACCGGATAAAGTGAACAAGACAAAGCCCAAACGTGTTTCCCCATTGAAAAAGAGTAATTTCACACCGTGGATATACGATTACCCATAAAACGGTAAAGAATTAGACTGTACAGGAAACTGAAGTTAATTTTTTAATTCCGCTACTATCTCATTCGTCCTCTGTAACGAATCCAGGATTATCGAGACGATAGTAATAGCTTCGTGAATATTCGATACACCGAACAAACGTTACGAACGGAAAATTGCGCACCAGAAAATCCCCCAAAAAGATATTTAAATTTTATTCATCTCGCCTGCTTTAACCCAGTCCATAGTCTCTATAGTAAAAATAAACACCTCTTATTTTTTTACCTGGAAAAATGGGAATTTGACCCTAACTTAACAAATTTCAATATAGAAGTATCGAAATTCGAAACTGTCTATCAATCAAAGGAATTCACATTGAGTGCAATAATTGACAATCTTATTAAAATTCAAAAAGAATAATAAATAATTAACCGGTCAAAACATGCCCAGAATGCTTCGTCGAATAGACGAAAATAAGAAATTCTGACCGTGTGACTGATCGTTTTGACTGCCAGTCACCATTGCCTCGACTTTCGGCACGGAAAACCCATCGACCGGCTTCCTTTCCTCGTCCATCCTTGTCGAATTTAATAATAGCGAATTTACACGACGTCCCGCTACCAACCCACCGCCGCCGCTGGTTTTGCAATTTCTGGCTCGGGCAGCAAAGTTCCCGTACAGTGCAGTTTCGCTTTTCACCGTAAACCGACCGGTTTTACGCGGCGTCCGCCATATTGGTGGCGAATACCAGCCGTGTTCGAGCGATTCGGTTCATTGAACGGTCTGCCGGAACGAAGGCCTGTGTCGCGAGGGAAGGGGGCAAGTATTTCGCGACCGTCTACCTGCTAAGAACGTGAATTTACCTTCTGTTTCCTCAGACTCAATAAGCGTTCGGCTTCTTTTCCCCAGGAAAATCAGGATCGAAGATTGCCTGTCCTCTAAATTCAACGATCAAAATTACTTTTCATATAGGTATCGTAAAAATCACGTACTTTAATCCACCTTCTGTTATATGTCTATTTCATTTTAATTCAATGTCAGCATTACGAAGAAAGAAGGCATGGTCAAGGTACCGATTTTAATAGACACCTAAATTCTAGGCCAGGAAGCCATCCATTTTGCGGTTATTTTAGGTCTAAAGCGTCTTTAAACCGTCTTCAAGGCTTCATTGGGTGTCTCGTGCTATCTAGGATCTCTCCTTGAAACAGATCACGTTTCGTGGTCCACCCAGTACAGGATTAAATTTATCTCATAAACATACTTACCACTTTGATTCGTACTTTTCGACGATCGTTAACGGTTTCAAATCACAGACCCTTATTGGGTGCGTAAACGTGACTTTCCGCCCTACCGCCTCTCTTTCATCCGTTAGAATCGAGTTTCAATTTAGCGAGGTTTCACGAGGAAAGAGTGGGTTGGTCCGTGTTCGACGGTCAGCTCCGCGGTTGTTTGTCGACGGTCAACCGTTGCCCGGGACGCGTTTCTTCGGGAATCGATTGCCGAACAGACGAGGGATTTCCTCAAGTGCTTCCGCTGTCTCGTGCAGAGACCACCCGGCCCACTCTAATCGGTTCGCTGGCCACCAGAATGGGAGGGGTGGGGGGCACGACTAACTGCTTTCTCGATCGCACGCGTTCGCTGATCGAATCGGAACGGAAACAATGGCCGACGGAATAACCGGTACACGGTACCCAGTCTGGCCCAGTTAACACGAGCCCAGTGAGGATGGTGGTACTTGTTCCTCGAGGTGCGTTCGGTTTTCGTTGGGCGAGAACGGCTGGCGAAACCGGAAACTGACTGCAGACTGACTCACCCCCTCCAGTTCGACGGACGGCCACCGAGTGTCCCGGGGAAATGGGAGTGTAAACAGTGGTGCGATCGAATTGTCGCGATTACGATCTCTCGATGGTGTCGTTTTAATCCCGACGATCAGGTAGAAACTGAATTTCATTCGTGTGTACAGGGGGAAACGCGTTCCTTAATCGACACGGGATGA